ATGTTTTAAAACCTCATTCATGAACGTAGATATGGCTCTGAAAAAGCTGGTGTTGACAAAACTTTAAATTCTGCTACCAAGATTAGCATGCATTGCAGGGTTAAATGTAAGCAGTTCCTCTAATAATTATACTATAATTGATGGCATTGTTGCACTAAGTTCTCTTAAAAATGATAAATTTCAAAAACCTTCATTTCATTTTTTTTTTTTTTGAGAGGTTTTTGCTATAGGGCGCATGCGCTCGCTAGAAAGACAGAGATAGAAAGCAAGAAATTATCCCCCAGGGGGGATGGCCACACCGCAATCCCTTCTCCTCCATTCTCCTCTCGGGATCTTGGGCATGCATGCACACGCACCCGGAGTGAGTTTAAGTCACCAGGTCCAGGACTCAAACAGCTATCGACTACATGGGAGTTCAGCAACATAGCCATTACGCTAACTGCTGGTACCGATTTTATTTATTTTCTCAATTATACTCAACCTTAGACAGATGATCACTGTCAGTCTTGGGGGGAAAAGTATCTATTGTAGTCACAAGAAAAATAAAACTACTCCATGAAAATCTTATTTTCTCAAAGACACTTCTGTGTATTGTTAGATTTTCTTTTCCTTGAGTAAATTAATATATAATGACTAGCAAAGCCAGGCATCATGCTAGATGCTATTAGTCATTAACCGACAGACTTGAGTTTGAATCTAAGCTCTGCTCGTTGTTAAGTTAGCTAGTGACATAATCAAGTTATTCCATTTTTCTTACCTTTGTGTTCCTCCTCTGCAAAACGAAGAGGACTAGTTTGCAGGGCTGCGATTACCAGGAGCTAACATATGCCATGCTTCTGGCCATAACTAGCACTGTGTCGCTGGATTCTCACAATCAGGGACCACGGGTACAACACCTGTTGGCAAATACGTAATCAAAAGCACGTTTCCCAGTTAGTCAACATTTACTGGGCACCTTCCATGAGCCTGGGACCTAACAGACACATGGGATAGCAAACAGTCCCCACACTCTTGGAGATTATGATGGAAATAGGTTGCCTGCATTTGCTGGTGGGGAGGGTCTATCTATCAGTCAAGATTTGAGGTAGTAAACTTTAGCAAAAAGGAATTAGCAAGATCATAGGAGCCACAGAATTACCTCCAATGCTCTCCTGGCAGCTTCAACTGATTAAAAACCTTGGGACCAGCAGTTGGCGTAATGGCTATGTTGCTGGAGTCCCATGTAGTCGACCACGGTTCAAGTCGCAGACCCAGTGACTTAAACTCACACAGGGCGCATGTGCGAGTGTGCCCAAGATCCCGAGAAGAGAATGGAGAAGGGATTGCAGCATGGCCACCCCCCGGGGGCGGTGATTTCTGGCTTTCTGTCTCTCTCTCTCTCTCTTTCTGGCAAGCACCACGCCCCATAGTAAAAATCTCTCCAAAAAAAATAGAAAATAATAACCTAGCGAGAGCATTCACTCAGGAGAGCTTAATTAAATGAGGCTCACCCCATGGCACGAGACGGTAGAGATTCTCACATTGAGAGCATAAAGACTACATTCTCAAGGATCATTTTTCCTTCAAAAAGAAATCCACCACCAGATACAAAAATCCTTAAAATCAACATGAGGCTGATTGATATATTCAATATATGCTAGGTAAAATTTGTGAGTCACCTTTTAAATCCTAGTATAAAAAGAATAAATGAAAAATTCTTCCAGAACCCATGAAATTGTTAAGGGAGTATTGGAGATTTTTTAAATCGTTTTTTTGTTGTTTGTTCAACACCTTTAATTCAGCAAGCTGGCATGTTAACTTTCACAAAAGTAGTCTTCACTCAGTATTAGTATTTACACTGTACCCATGAGAGATTCAAGTCTGATGTCTTTTTCCAGATTTCCATTGAAAACAGCTTAAAAAACTGGGGGGAAAAGTCCTATCACTTGAACTATGCCTTAAAATTACAGGCTACCATTCACTTTTTAACCTGCTAGCTGAGAGAAACCAAAATACATTTCCCCTCCCACTCTCTTTTTTTAAAAAGAACTATTTTCTTTAACTTTATTTTAATTTGATCAGAGAGACAGAGCGAGAAAGAGAGAGAGAGAGGAAAAGTGAGAAACCAAACCGCCAGGTCCAGGACTCAAGCCACAGTCCACCATGTGAGAGTCCAGCGCCCTTAACCACCATGCCGGCCCCTCCCACTCTTCTTAATAACTGAACTTTCTGGCAGACCTAAAGGCTAAAATTAACTTCTATCTTTTCTCAGATGTGCTATAGGGTGCCTCTGCTCGCCAGAGAATGGGAAATGAGAAAGTACCCACCAAGCGAGAGGGCTGCGTGGAACCCTCCTCCATTCCTCTCTCCAGCCTGGGAGCCGCCCCAACGCACACGCGCCAGAGTATTTCAAGCTGTGGACCCGGTCTTCACCTCGGAGTCCACCAGGTGGGATCCATCCACCTTAACTATGCCACCAGCTGGCCCTAAAATTAATATTTTAGGCCATATGTGTCCTTTTTGTTTTAAATATTTCATTATTATTATTTTGGAGAGGTTTTTGCTATAAGGTGCATACACTCACCAGAAAGACCAAGAGAGACAGAGACCGAAGGCGAGAAATCACCCCCCGGGGTGATTGGGCATGCACGCACACGCGCCCAGCATGAGTTTAAGCCATTGGGTGCAGGACTCGAACCTCAGTTGACTACAGGGACCAGCAGTTAGCATAATGGCTATGTCACCAGACTCCCATGTAGTCGACTGCGGTTCAAGTCCCAGACCCAGTGGCTTAAACTCATGCTGGGCGCGTGTGCGTGCATGCCCAATCACCCCGGGGGGTGATTTCTCGCCTTCGGTCTCTGTCTCTCTTGGTCTTTCTGGTGAGTGTATGCCCCTTATAGCAAAAACCTCTCCAAAAAAAAAAAAAAAAAAAAATCACCACAGTCAACTACATGGGAGTCCAGAGACATAGCCATTACGCCATCTGCTGGTCCCTTATTTTTTAATTTGCCATGGGGCGTACACACAAGAGCAGGCAAGCAGCCAGGTCAGGACTCGAACACAGATGCCCATGCGGGAGTCCAGCGCCTTAACCACTACGCCACCTGGGGCCATGTCCCTATTTTTTGAGAACATGCGCACATTCGATTTAGCCACAGCTAGTCCCAAAACCTTACCCCCACCTTCCCAGTCAAAGCCCATAGCTATCAATGAGTTACACACTCAACCCTAGTACAGTAGCTCAATGCTTATTAGGGTGGTGGCCCTCAAGTATTCTACCTGTATTAAGTGAATGAATCCTCACAAAAATTCTGAAGCTGGTCCTATTATCATCTTCATTTTTCAGGTCACAGTAGAGTCACTCAAAAGGGCAGTCATTTCTCTTAGCATCGCTGAGGCTGTTAAATCCCTTCTATATTAGAGGCAATTTTGGAAAGACTTGTATGAACAAACCTGTACCCCTATGCACCTTCCGGCTGTGTGGTGAAGGGACAAGTTACCTAGATCTGAAGTTTTTCCATCTATAAAATAAAAGGGCCGGCAGGAGGTATGGTGATTAAGGGCACTGGACTCCCACATAGGCGACCGCAGTTCAAGTCCCAGACCTGGTGGCTATTTAACTCTCCCTCTCTCTCTCTTGCTCTGTCCCTCTCTGGTCGAATTTAAATAATTTTTTAAATGAAAATATCATATGCTTCATGAGATATTGTTAAACAAGCCAATCTGCTGCTGAAACTCCTATATTCAAGAGAAGTATCTTCCTAGAGTTTCTACTTTAGCATTTTTTAACGTGAGAGGGTTTTTTTCTGGGTTCTATCAAGGTACTGTGAGGTGTGTCAAAGATATTTCTTTCCATGATTTGCAAATTGATATTGTTCTTAAACAATTAAAGAATCTAAAAGCTCAGTATAATGAGTGCCTGGAAATTTTTATGGTCTTGTGTTAGATTAACTGCTCAACATAGGTCTCCCCCAGACAAGTCGAAACAACAGTAGCCTAAGAGCCTAGTTCATGCCACTCTGAAGCATTTTTTTTAAATATTTTTGTAGGGCATGTGCACTTGCTGGAGAGACAGAGAAAGTCAGAGACAGAAAGCGAGAAGCCACCCCCCAGGGGCGATGGCAATGACACAATCTTCCATTCTCTCAGGATTTTGGGCACACTCACACATGCACCCAGCGTGAATTTCAAGCTACTGGCACGACTTTCAAGCCCCTAGGCCCAGGACTTGAACCATTGTTGGCCGCATGGGAGTCCAGCACCTTAACTACCACGCCACTTGCTGGGCCCCTAAAGCAGCATTTTAAAGGAACTCATCTCAGTGACTCAACCAGGCTTAGAAAGATATGAAGGGCAAACAATGTGGCATTTGTATCCATATAGTTTAGTCCGAGATCTGAGTTCTCCAAATACTGTGGGATCATGACAGGATGTCAAGATGCTAAACCTGAGACGCAATGTCAGCTCTTCAATTCAGCCCAATTTCCCCAAGGAAAAAACAGCTTGCTCCCTAACTAGCAGGTTAGGGAACTTGCTCCTAACAGTGTGTAATGTTAAATGTTTATACTACCATGTTTATGATAAAACAAACATGTGGTAAAAAGTTCAAGAAATGTTACAAATGTCTTTCCTTACACGTTACATTTCCCTTAATCTTCACGGCAATGCTGTTATTTACTAATAGTCATATTTTACGAATAGCAACACGAAGCTAGGACAACACTGGAATCCAGGTCTTCTGACATGCCTAGTGATCCATTACTTTATATCTGAACTGGAAATAAAAAATTAGCCATTATCCTATTACTATATAACAAAGTTTTATTTTAAAATGTGTATACTTATATTAACATACTTAAAGTTGTAAATAATATAAAAATATAGTAACATGAAGTTATCAAGCATTTGTCTGTAACTATATCTTCTATTTAACATGTGTGGAGGAAGTTATTTTCTTCCAAGTAATTGATGCTTCACACTTTTGCTTAGTAGCTTTAAATAATAAACATGTAGTCATATACTTTAAAAATGGTTTTATTTCATGTGCAAATAATGGACCGGTTTCTACCCATAAATTCTCTTTTCCCAAAACAATTTGGAGGTTTAGGTTTGTTATTTTTTTGAAAAATGAAAACCACACCAAAAATTTTAAAAGACACTGTAATTCCTGTTTCTAAATCATAGCTGGCTAGAAACATAAAGGTTATCTGGAATACCAGGGATCACAAGTTACAAGTGAGTACTGTCAGAGTGGAAATTATACAGTCCAGCCATTACAGGCAAAGATTATTCCACTCTCGTCCTCAACATCCAAGCGCCTCTCAGAACAGTTAAATCAGGTCAAGACAGTCCAGCATACTAGGCTTTGTTACATAAGGCCATTATGTTCTTCTAAGATGCTAACAAACGAAAACAAGAAACACCGAAATCAAAACAAAACATACTAGAAACTGTCACAGAAATCCTAAGTTCCTTGCAGTATCCCCCTTTCTACAACATTAATAAAGGTGATATATTAATATTAAAAAGAACATTTGGTTTTATATCACCAGCCATGCACTTTTATCATTAGCTATTACATAAATGCTGCCTCGTTCTATATCCAAAAGGCACAACCATTTTATGCTCACAATGCACTTCAGTATTTATCAAGTTTCCATGATTTACATAAGCACGTCTATCAGTGAAGATTTAACACTGAGATGGAATCTGGCATCCATAATATCTCATGTTTTGGAGACAGCAATGTAGGAGAGATGTATTTTTAATCACCTTTCATCTGAATGACCTTATGTAAAAGAAAAAACATCAATAATTTAGAAGTTCTAAGTCTCCAAAGGAGATTTTCACATGTACGCATAGAAATGGGGACGAGGTTGATTTTTAAGAAACGTCTTCCATGTCCACATCCTGTTGTAACTGCTGTACCATTTTTTCTTCCAGCTGTTTTCCTTTGCCTTTAAAAAGAATTTTAAATTAAAATATAATTAATTCAAGGTGATCTTACAAATTTATATCAATAATTTATAAAAGATCTTGACTATGTTAGAATAACATTAGCCATTTCTAAGAAATGTAATAGTAGCTAACTTTTTAGGTCTCATAATATGCCACGCCTAAAGTGAACATCCTACATACATTTGATCACATCACCCTCATAACCACCCCACTGTAAAGATGGTAAAGAGACAGCTTAACCTGCCCGAGGTCTCTTAGCCAGTAAGTCCAGTAAATGAAGCTGGGATTTGGACCCTGGCCACTGGACCCAAGGTCCCTGCTCTCAACACTGTACTACCTGCCTCACAGAGGGTTACCTAAAAAATAACAATGATTTGTCCTCGTTGCTTCTTGGGTGTCAGTTTTCATTACCTACATGTAAAACAAATGCTCCAGGATTTTGTCTTTTTAATAAAACTCGGTAGAAAACTAACCTAGGTAAGACATTTACACAAATTTACTTGACATGTGGTAACAGAATCAGCCCTTTACTAAAGTTTAGGTAAAATTCCTCTCCCTTTCAATACATTTGTCTCTTGATAATTCCAGGACATTGGTTCCAGGAACCCTTTTCCCCTCCAGAATACCAAAATCTGCAAATGCTTAAATCACTTTTTTTTTTTTTTTTGGAGAGGTTTTTGCTATAGGGCACATGCACTCGCCAGAAAGACAGAGAGAGACAGAGAAACAGAAAGGGAGAAATCACCCCCCAGGGGACATGGCCACACCACAATCCCTTCTCCATTCTCCTCTTGGGAGCTTGGGCACGCGCCTGGCGTTGAGTTTAAGCTACTGGGTCCGGGACTTGAACCGCAAATGACTACATGGGAGTTCGGTGACATAGCCATTACACTAACTGCTGGTCCCTGTAAGTCACTTATATAAAATGACATGGAGGGAGGGGCAGTTGGCATGGTGGTTGAGGCACTGGACACCCAACATGGCCAACCATGGTTAGAGTCCTGTACCTGGAGGTTTGCTTTCTCATTTTCCCTCTCTCTATCTCTCTCTCTCTCTCACTCTTTCTCTGATCAAATTAAAAAATAATAATAATTAAAATTAAATAAAAAGGACCAGCAGATGACATAATGGTTATGTCGCTAGCCTCCCACATGGCCAACCGTGGCTTCAAACTCATGCTGGGTGCGTGTGCATGCATGCCCAAAATCCCTAGAGGAGAATGAAGGAAAAGGGATTGTCACGTGGCCATCCCTCCTGGAGGGTGATTTCTCACTTTCTGTTTTTCTCTGTCTTTCCAGCGAGCACATGCACCCTATAGCAAAAATCTCTTCTAAAAAATAAATAATTAAATAATTAAATTAAAAAAAAACTCTTTAAAAAAAAAAATGACAGTGGAACTGGCAGATTAGCATGGTAGTTGGGGCATCCTACGTGGCTGACCATGGTTCAAGTCCCAGATCTGACATCTTGCTTTCTCACTTTCCTTGTGTGTGTGTGTCTGTCTCTCTCTCTAAGGTCAAATTTTAAAAAATAATAAGTTAAATAATTCTTTAGGGGCCAGCAGGTAGTATGGTTGTTAAGATGCTGGACGCCCACATAGCTGACTACGGTTTGAGTCCCAGACCTGGCAGCTTGCTTTCTCACTTTCCCTCTCTCTGTGTCTCTCTCTCTTTGGTGAGTGCACATGCCAACAGCAAATTAAAAAAAATAATAATGGGGAACCAGCAGTTAGCGTAATGGCTATGTCGCTGGATTCCCACGTAGTCAACCACGGTTCACGTCCTGGACCCGGTGGCTTAAAACTCACGCTGGGCGCGTGTGCATGCATGCCCAAGATCCCGAGAGGAGAATGGAGGAGAAGGGATTGTGGTGTGACCATCCCCCCTGGGGGGTGATTTCTCGCTTTCTGTCTCTATGTCTCTCTCTCTGTCTGGCGAGCACACGCGCCCTATAGCAAAAAATAAATAAATAAATTATTCTTTTAAAAAAATAATAATTGGGGCCAATGGGTGGCATGGTGATTAAGGATACTGAACTCTCACATGGCTGACCGCAGTTCAAATCCTGAACCTAGCAGCTTGCTTTCTCACTTTCCCACTCTCTCACTTGCTTTGTCCCTCTCTGGTCAAATTAAAATAAATAAAGTTAAATAATCCTTCCAAAAATTCTTTAAATTAAATAAAATGACAAAGTAGTTGCATCTAACTTAACATACATCGTCTTTCCCATATACTTTAAATCATCTCTAGATTACGTATAATATCTAATACAATGTAAATGCTACATAAATAGCTGTTTCACTATATATATATATATATTTTGTTTTGTTTTTTAAACTGTTATTTCTCCCTCTTCTTTTAAAGAATATTTTTTGGGGGGTTTTTGTCCTCTTTTTTTTTATGTCCTCTTTTTTTTTTTTTTTGAAAGGTTTTTGCTATAGGGCGCGTGCACTCACCAGACAGAGACATAGAGACAGAAAGCGAGAAATCACCCCCCGGGGGGATGGTCACACCGCAATCCCTTCTCCTCCATTCTCCTCTCAGGATCTTGGGCACACACGCACACGTGCCCAGCGTGAGTTTTAAACCACCAGGTCCGGGACACGAACCACGATCGACTACGTGGGAGTCCAGCGACATACCCATTACACTTACTGCTGGTTCCGTTTTTGTCCTCTTTTTTGAAAGAGAGATTTTTGCTATTGGGCATGTGTGTTCACTGGAGACACAGACAGACAGAAAGCACGAAATCTCCCCCAGGGGAAATGGCCATACCACAATCCCTTCTCCTCTACTCTTTTCTCGGGATTTTGGGCATGCATGCATGCGCACCTGGTGTGAGTTTCAAACCGTTGGGTCCAGGACTCAAACCACGGTTGATGACGTGGGAATCCAGCAACATAACCATTATGCCATCTGCTGGTCCCATTAATTTTTTAAGTTTTGCCAAAGTGTGTGTGCAGTCACCAGAGAAAGAGAGAAGGACAGTAAGAAAGCAGTCCCCATGGGGATGGTGCCACTGCAATCCCTTCTCCATATCTCCCTCCTTTCAGGATTTTAGACACACATACACAAGCACACAGTGTATTTTTCAAGTCACTGGTTCTAGGACTTGAATCGTGAACTCAGCCATGTGGGGATCCAGCTGACTTAATGATCACACCACTGGCTTGCTCTTAAGAATATCTTCTTTTTTTTAAGAATTTTAAAATTTTATTTGTTTTTGTTTTGTTTTGTTTTCAATTTGACCATAGCTAGACAGAGAGAGAGAGAGGGAAAGCAAAAGTGAGAAAGCAAGCCACTAGGTCCTGGACTTGAGCCATGGTCGGCCATGGGAGAGTCCAGCACCCCAACCACCACACCACCTGCCAGCCCCAAGATTATTTTCAATGGAAGTTGGCTGTATCTGAGGATATGAAACCAAGGTTATGGTAGGCCAACTATCATCTGTGTAAGTAAATTACGTAATAAACTGTACGTGGTGCCAGCTGAGTAAAAGACTGATTTTCTAACACTTCCCAAACCATGCACATTAACGACTGCCCAAATGAATGAATACCAGGAAGTTACTGGGTTGTTGTAAAAGTCATGACATATTTTTCTGTTTTTCTATGCAAAACTGAGTCATGACTTTTCCAATAACCCAATACACAAAACCAAACAAGGGCTTTTAATACAAATTAGTAGTCCTTTATGTTGAATATCAGAATTGCCTGGAGGGTTATTTCAGAACAGATCCCCAGACGAAAACAGTGAGAGCCTTTAGGGTTATAGTATAGTCAGCTCCCCAAGTAATTCTAATACCAACCAAAACCTGAGACCCACTAATCTAAAACAACGTCCTTTAACAGGAACAGATGTGAGGTAAAAATTACCTACAAATTATTACTCAAATTATTCTACTTACCTTGGAGAGACAGTTTATGGAAGACAGGATATTATGAAAGAGGGAAAGAAATACTACATACGACAGATAGCCTACAACTAGGAAATACACTGAACAGATTACATTTGCTTAAGTCCAGTCACATTATAATATACCATGAGAGATTATATTAAAATTAAAAAAAAAAAAACTTGAAAAGTTAGCTGGCACTCAATTGCAGATATAGAAATCTAGACCTTCCATCTCTCTACAGTAGAGAACACCTAAACAATGCAGTACTTACCTGCAAGAGGGGCCCGGATAAGATGAATGTTTTGCTTGACTTCTTTGATGTCCTGAACTTTCTGTAGCTCTTTGTTTTTCTTCAATCTAGGATAAGACATGTCAAAGCCAAAGTTTCAGTTACTAAAAGTTCTTGAGGAGAAATTAAGTCACAACACAGGTACTCAACTTTACTAAGTCAAGTGACGCAGATGGAGAATAGGAACTAGATGGTCGCCCTTCTGGTCGCTCCCTTTTCTAATCCCCTTCCTGTCCC